GCCTGATGCGGGGCTCAAGTGCATGACCCTGAGATCCTGACTTGAGCCAAAATCAAGAGTAGGATGCTTAACTGACTGAGCCACCCAGGTGCCCCAAAAGATTCAATTCTAAAATGATTTCTAGAATGAGAGAACACAGAAAATAGGAGAAAACAAGTAATTCTAAAAATGTTAACACTCAAGGACATGAGTTTCTAGACTGAAAGGACTCAGTTAATGCCTGGCATAATGTATGAAAATACACCTAAATCAAGGACTGTTGTAAAATTTCTTCCAGAAAAAAAAAAAACCAAACCAAACCAAAACAACAACAACAACAACAACAACAAACAGGCCAGGAATCTGAATGGCTCTGAGTTTCCCAAAAGCAATCTTCAGAGCTAATGGTCAATGAAGAGTGCTTCTAAAATTCTGAAGGAAAATTATTTATAACCTAAAATTCTATACTTTGCCAAACTATCTACCATGTGTTTGTATAAACTGAAGATATTTTCAGATATGCAAGGTGTGACAAACACTTCTTATGTCCCTTTTCAACGAAGAAGGAGGAAGACATGGGATAGATGATACAAGCCATTCAAAACTCCAAAGTGCAGGGTACCCCCAGAGTGGTGGTGAAAGAATATAAGAAGATAGCAGTGTCCAAACAGAGAGGGTGACCAGTTCCGACAGGAACAGGTGAGAAGCCTCCAGGAAAGATTTAGTGAAGGAAATGAATCAGAAGATCTGTTGTCTGAATGTGTTAAGAGGAAATTGAGTCCACTGGCAGAGAGTCAACAGATGAATTAGTGAGAAGTATACGGAAAACTAAGCTAATCTGTGTGCGGGGGGAGATGATCATTAATTCTAGGGAAAATTAAAAGTCATGCAGGAATGGGGCGCCTAGGTAGCTCAGCTGGTTAAGCGTCTGACTCTTGGTTTTAGCTCGGGTCATGGTCTCGGGGTCGTGAGGTTGGGCCCCACATTGGGCTCCACACTGGGTGTGGAGCCTGCTTGGGATTCCCTCTCTCCGTCGGCACACTGCCCCTCGTAGCCCCACTTGCATGTTCTCTCTCCCTCTAAAAGAAAAAAAAAATCATGCAGAAGGAACCATAATATATTACATAGCTAAACTGTGATCAGCATTTAGGTAGTCATAGTAATGTAAACAGTAAATAGTGATCTACCCAAAATTTCAGTATAATTCTGTTAGGAGGATGGTGGAGATAGGGGGGCAATTAGGGGCATGAATGTATAATTGGGGCACAGGGATGAAAAGGAAGTAAATTCTCATTTTCCATTGTAGGAGGTGGACAGAAAAGGCCTAAAAGTGATAAGAAGTGGCAATATTATACTCCTACTATTTCGTTGTATGGATTAATGTCCAAAATAATCAGCTAAGAGTCAAAAATGGGGGCTCCTGGGTGGCTCAGTTGGTTAAGCGACTGCCTTCGGCTCAGGTCATGATCCTGGAGTCCCGGGATCGAGTCCTGCATCGGGCTCCCTGCTCAGCGGGGAGTCTGCTTCTCCCTCTGACCCTCTTCCCTCTCGTGTTCTCTCTCATTCTCTCTCTCTCAAATAAATAAATAAAATCTTTAAAAAAAAAAAAGAGTCAAAAATGGTGCTCTGAGGAGCAAGAAAAGGGAGTGCGGCAGTAGGGGACTCATGTCCTTCATAACATGAACAATAATAGTTCTTATAGAACTATTTCAGCCTTTAAACTATGTATGGGTACTACTTTGATAAGGCTAGAAAGTTTTACTAAAAAATAAAAGTAAATACTTTTGCCCCTCACCTCAAAAAAACCTTCATGGACTACAGATTTGGGACTCTTGAACTAGTAGGGCTCTCAGGAGCATCAAGATTCTACGGTTCCTTTCTAGCACCATTTCCATTCCAACTGCTCCTTCTCTTTCGCACCATCTCAGTAGAGAAAGTAAGTTTCAGGAATGGAGTTTTCCAAACGGGGTTAATATGGCCTTAAGGAAGTATCCCTTATGGTACCCAAAGCTATGATATGAAAAAGTAGGGATCCAGCTTTCTTAGACTAACTAACACACATTCCAGGTATGTAAGTAGATAACCCCAATTCAAACATGTGACTTGGTTTTGTGCTCTGGGTTCAGAAGGAACAGAAGGCGCAATCAAAGAGAATCTGTCTAAATTAAGGATTTTTTCTGACACAGAGACAGATGCTGCTTGAACCTCCAAATTATGCCATATAAGGTCTGAGTTCCACAGCTTAGATTATTGCGGAAATTGAACACACTGAGTCTGTGTTTGTATACACACTTCTCTCCACTGGCTACTGCATTATGTTCTCTCTTCATCTAAACTTGCTGCTTAGCTGATCCAGATATGAAACCGAAGGAGTTCTGGCCAGGATAGTACCACTGGGATCTGAAGCGAGCCTTTTTCACACTCATGGGATGTTGGCTTCCCTTAGGACAAGTCTTTAAATTGAACCAGAGGCTACGTCTGTTAGTAAAAAGTCATTCTGAAGGCTTTATCACATGTGATGCTAGCAGGGTTAGAGCCCAAACGACAGTGTCTATAAACCTTTTAACTTCCAAATCAGCGTAATTTATATTGCTGGAAACCATAACAGGAAGGGTTTTTGGGTTTGTTTTTCTTTCATCTATTTCCAAACCTATTTCTATATTAACAAAATGTAAAAACTCCTCCCCTTCAGTCTCTGGTTTCTGGGGGAAGGGAGCAGAAACAAAAAACTTGGGAATTTAATAAGCAGAGCAATAAAGCCTTTTTATCAGGTTTGTGAGCTTGGCTGTGCACGAGAGTCGGGGATTATCAGAGTGAGTTCAGTGGGGTGTGTGCCAAGAGCAAGGGCCATGCGGTAGCTGGACCTGGCTTCCTGGCCCTACCTGGCCTGAGATGAACTCTCAGGGTTTGAGGGTGTAGCTCGATGGCCAAGGCTAGTCAAGGCTCAGCAGGCACACGTTAAGCCCATATAAAATCCTCAGGGCTACAGAGTCTTCTTGGCATAGTGTCAAGTTCATTCCCAACATACAGCAGAAGCTGTCAACAGCCCTAGAACCTCCTAGCCACGCAGGACATGGGGAAAGATTGTGAGAAACGGCTAGTGCGAGATCTCAATGTGTCCATATTCCCGTGACAAAGTATTTATTCTAAAATGCTACTCCAATCAAAGCTGTCCCTTCTGGTGCTTTGTATGAGCCGTTCACAAGGAAGACTATTCCTAACTCGATTCACAGAGGTCTGTATATCCTCAGAATCATTACATGTAAGGTTGAGAGTCCTATTTTCTCTCTCACATGAAATATACCTCCCTCAAACATCCGTGACTAGGAACAAGAATCTGAGAACTCAAAGCCCCACTATTACACTCTCCTCAACTTTTGCTTTGGACTGTGTGACTTCCCCAAGCTGGGCACAAAAGGACTTGTTCTGCCACAGTCTAAAATGACTCAGCTGGAGGACGCGGGATTTGAAGTGAATATTCTGGTAAGGATTAAGATATGACTTCTCAAAATGCCCTTCCGTACTTCTCCTCCCTTTAAAGCAGTCTTCTTTTCAGATTGTCTGGTTGAATGGCGCAAGGCCAAAGATGAGGGTGTTCATTGGTTCGGTGGAAAATTAATGAAATTCTAAACAGAAAGGCTGAACTTGCCACGGCCTCTGACTGATAAATCAAGCACAATTTACCGGGGTTCACAGTGTAAACTGCAAGGATCCAAGGACATAGAAGCCCAGCTAGCTCACTAAACATACCCCCAAATGCATGTCTTTCTTGGCTATGTCTATCTGCACGGAAACTAAGAAAGAAGTAACATAAGGGCAGTCCATTTGTTTCTTCCCCACTGCACTAGACTCCCCTTCCCAGGCCTGCCCTCTGTACTGGGGTCAGAACAGGTTCTCTGCTCAGGCCAGAAGGTTTCAACCTTGGGATTGAGGGGAAGGGGCAAGAGAAGGGTGCGGGGGCACATCAGAATTTTGGGGGAAGAGGAACATAGTTTGAAAACAAAGTGCTTTGTTTCACCATTTTTGTTTGCAACTCATGAAAATATATTTTAAAATTTAAATGACTTTATAGAAGAAAGACATGAGAATTTTATGCTTATCAAAGAGGACATGGCGGGATGCCTGGGTGGCTCAGTTGGTTAAGTATCTGCCTTCAGCTCAGGCCATGATTCCAGGATCCTGGGATTGAGCCCTGCATCGGGCTCCCTGCTCAGTGGGAAGCCTGCTTCTCCCTCTGCCTGCCACTCCCCGCTGCTTGTGCTCTCGCTCTCTCTGACAAGTAAATAAAATCTTAAAAAAAAAAAAGGAGACATGGCACGGGTTTTCAAAGGGTCAAGAAATTCTGGTTGAAGTCAATGAGATTGGGGACTCTGGTGGGCAGTGCTCGGCCTCTTGGCAAATATGGTAATAAAATCTTAGCTTCCTTTTTCACTTCCTGCCCATTCATACGTCTGTACTGAAGTCTTGAGCGTTGAGGGAAGGGTTTATATTTCCATTCTGTCTACATCAATTTTCTTTAATTAAACCCTAACCACAGAATAGCTTTATTAGTAGCTAACCTTCACCAACATCTCAATTGCAATTAGCATAGTTTAAACATTCCTTTTCTTTTTTTTTTTTTTAAAGATTTATTATTTGAGAGAGCAAGAATGAGAGAGAGAGGGTACATGAGAGGGGGGGAGGGTCAGAGGGAGAAGCAGGCTCCTTGCCGAGCAGGGAGCCCGATGCGGGACTCGATCCCGGCACTCTGGGATCATGACCTGAGCCGAAGGCAGATCGCTGAACCAACTGAGCCACCCAGGCGCCCTTAAACATTCCTTTTCTAACAGTGCTTAAAGCAAATTATATTTTTGCAAAACCCACCTGATGCCAAATATGTCTATGTGCAAACTGTGGGAATGACCTTTCTCTCTCGTTCATTATGATTCCATCCACTCATCCGTGTAATGAAACGGTGAAATGTCTGCTGTGTGGCAGACACATAGGACACACACCAACTAATATCCGATGATCACACTCACCTGTGTGAGAATAGATGTACCACAGGGCCCCCGTCAGGAGGGCTCCGATCACAAACGCCGCAAACGCAATGCCCATCACGGTGAGGGTGTCCAGACCGTGGAAGACTGCTATAAGGAAGGGAAGCCAGTACATACTTTCAGTGAGTCTGCACCAGATGTTGCAATTTTGTATTTGTTTCACAAGCACTGTCAAGAAGGCTGGGCACGGACTAAGAAAATGGGGACGAAATGAGAATCCCAACCAAATGCAATGTCTTTAAAAATTGCACATTTTTTTTTCCTCAAAAGAAAAATGAAATGATCAGATTTCCAAGATAGCCTCAGGTTGCATCCTCAGTTTGAAGATGCTTTGGAAAATGAAGTGAGCTCCCATTACCGAAATGTGGCGCACCGCTTCTTATTCATCAAACACTTCCAACAACGAGACAAGAAAACACAGAGAAGACACATTTCAAATAATCTACAAATACATTTTCACGGACATTTATAGGTATGAGAGGTAACAGGAAGATAGGAGGTGGACAAGGAGGAAACAAGGCAAGGATCAACTATTCCTACAGAGTCTAACGTTTCGCTGGTCCCCTCAGATCAAACCCTCCATCCTAACAATTCTGTATTGTGTCACTTAAAACAACCTACTTTTTAACACTCTTCTAACCGTGATCTTTCTATGAGGGGGACGGAAATACTTCTCAATGTGGAGTTATGTCAGTTTTATGGTCAGCAAAACATATAAATAGAACCAATTGTTCCTCCACTTGGCAAAGATGTTTATATTTGAAATCAATTCCAGGCCACAGAAATAGAACATTTCCTTTCATTTAAGAGAACTACCTTCTATGAATCACTTATAAGAAGTTAAAACCAGCTTCCAAGAGACAGGGTTTTCAGTTGAATAAAATTTCTAGGGTGTCTATTTTTTAAATGTAAATTTAGGGTGTAGGATCTCCCTATTATCTCAATCCCATTTCTATGTTCCTCTCGAGTCAGAAGCAACTCCGGCTGATCTCTATGTAAATTAAATCTCTTTGCCCTTCATCTTACTTCAGTGTAAAATATCTAGTTGTATAGAGAAATGTGACACACCCCTCCCCACCTCCGAGCAGCCCCAGAACTTGTAAGGGCTCGGGAAAAGTATGCCATGCTGCCAAAGATTCTGGAATTTTGGAATTTCCAAGTCCTGGTGGCTACTTTTCTAGCCATATGCCCTTTGGTGTGTCAACTTCTGGAAATGGGGATAGCACTGCTTCACCTGCTAAAGGCAGGGAGTAAACAAAAGGAGTTTGTAGAAGGTTTGGGGATCCCGAGGAAGGAATATGAACTGGGAAGAACTCTGGAGGTTAAGACGAACCAAACCATATACTCCATTTAATTTAGTCTGTAGGTGTTAAAAGATGATTTGCCTTTTTATGCTTACAGATGCAAAAATGGGGCACCACTGAAAGTTTTCAGTAAAACTCCTCTGAAATTCTAAAAATGGAGACGTCACTTATGAAAATCAGGCTGGGTCAGTATGAGAGAAATATGTCCACATGTGTCTCTTTGTGGGTTCATGATACTCTTTCATGATATTGTTGAAGTAAGACACTTAATTGTAACAGTGTAGTGCTTTGCATAAAGGAACTCCCCAGACTGTTATGTGTATGAGGTGAGCCATGGAGACTAACCTAGAGAGTCGTAGGAAAGATAAAAAGCACAGATTCTCCCCACAAGGCAACACCATCTAGAAGAGCTATGGGTGCAAAGCCAGAAAGCCCAGGTTCTAGTCCTGCCTGAATGCCAATTATAGCCACGGGTGAGTCACCTGAATATTTTTTGGTCAGAATCTTCTTCCGTATAGAGTGACAAAATTGGCCCAGACAAATCCCAATGCATCATTCTGTAGTAGTTGGTCTCTTTTCTTTTTTTTCTTACAAGTCCCCCCTCTTCCCCTTTCCTTGCACATCCCCACTGGACTAGAGACAGTCTCAAAGAGACAGCAACTGGGTTCCCTTAGCACTACTTCCCTGAGCAGGTAACTACTATAGATGCCAAGTAAAGCAAACCACTCCCATATGTGAGTTATCGGTTTTAGATCACAACTGGTATAAGTATGCAAATAAGGAACTCTCTCTAAAGCGAAGTAAGTTACTACCTTCCCATTAAGGCCACACATGCCAGTGGGTCCACAAATTCACATTTAAAAGTGGCAGACAGGAAAAAAGAGGATGAAGGAAGGACAGAGGAAAGGAAAAAGTATGAGATTATGAAAAAAAGGGGGAGACAGGGAATGAGAGCAGAGGTCTTCTTATCAAAACTCAAAGTTTGCCAAATGCTCTATAACCAACTCATTCTTATAAAAAGCCCAGGAGGCTTCCTTTCAAAATAGATGCATAAAGACTTACGTGGAGAAATTGGACTCGGTTCCTTAATGCTTGGACCTGTTTCTGAAAAAAAAAAAAAATCATGATGCATTCCACAGAGAAACCAAGTTTTAAGCAAAAGTTCATCATGATCTCAGCAGAGATTGACACTTTCCTATTGGTTAATACTCTGTGAAAGCTTTGCCAGTTATCCTCTTTAGATGTCACAACTGTAACATGGGCTACTCAGAAATGTTAAGCATTGTACTTTGTCAACAATCAATTGTACAGGGTCTCCAATTTGAAGAAAACTTGAAGGCAAACTTAAGGAATCTGAGTCTGACAGCATGTATGTGTGCGTATACCTTTATATTTATTTACAAGAGGATTCAATACCTTTAAATAACATATTTCTCCAGTGTATTCATGATGTTTTTCCACTTTCAAAAAATTCTTTTAACGTATACAAGTTTTGTGGGGCGCCTGGGTGGCTCAGTGGGTTAAGCATCCGACTCTTGGTTTCGGCTCAGGTCATCTCAGGGTCATGAGATCGAGCCCTGCATGAGGCTCCATGCTCAACTCAGCAGAGTCTGCTTGGATTCTCTCTCCCTCTGCCTCTTCCTCTCTCTCTCTCTCTCTCTCACTCAAATAAATAAATAAATAAATAAAGATCTTTGAAAAAATGTACATAAGTTTTGTAAAAGTGTCCTTATTCTTCTTTCCTTAATGCTATTATGCTATAGTTCAGCTCCTTTTTTAAAAAATAAGAATTTAGGGGTGCCTGGGTGGCTCAGATGGCTAAGCATCTGCTTTTGGCTAGGGTCATGATCTCCAGGTCCTGGGATTGACTCCCATGTCGGGCTCCCTGCTCAGCAGGGAGTCTGCTTCTCCCTCTACCTCTCTGCCTCTCCCCCTGCTCATGCTCTCTCTCTCTCTCTCTGTCTCAAATGAATAAATAAAAAATTCTTTTAAAAAAAATAAGAATTTATTTATTTATTTATTGAGCAAGCGAGAGAGAGCACGCACACGCACAGGGGGAGGGGCAGAGGGGGAAGGAGAGGGACAAGCAGACTCTGTGCTGAGTGGAGCCTGACGGGCAATCTCACAATCATGACCTGAGCCGAAACTAAGAGTTGGATGCAACTGAGCCACCCAGGTGCCACTCAGCATCTTTTCATCATACCTCTGCATTACTACAGAGCTTTCCTAACTGGTCTCCTTGTTTCCACCTACTGCCCCTGCTCCTGCCCCAAATATTTCCTCCTCCATATTTTCCCCTCAGAGTGAATTTTCCAGAGCCCAGAGTTGATTATGTTATTGACCTGATTAAATTGCTCCATGACTTCCTGCACTCACAGGAAAAAAACTAAACTCCAGCCTGGCACACAAAAGTTCTGCCTTCCTTTTCTACCAACCTGTTGCTAGCCTCCTTTCCTAAAGAGCCCTTCACCCATGCTGGGCTCCTCATACTTATTTAAGCTCCCCAAATTCTCTATGCTGCTCTGATCATCATACTTTTGCAAGCCATCCCCTGAAATACCCTCCTCCCTCAGACCTGCTTTGTTGGTATGGTTACTGGGAGGCTTTCTCTGACTCTCCCTCCAACCTCCACCCCAGCAGGGCCAGTCTCTACCCATGTGGCTTATTCCACCCCTCGGTTGTCCTACATATACTCCAGCACATCATAATTCTCTAGGTTCTTTTCTGCCTGGAGGGCAGGGTCTAGTTCTTACTCATCTGGACATCCCAGGGCTCAGCCTAGCATGGAAGAGGCCTGCCAGAAATCAGTAAAGGATGACTAGAATGTTGACAATGGAGACAACAGAGGGAGCTGGGAACAAGGCTATAGAACAGTGCTTGTATGCTTTGACATTTCTATAATGCTTTCGTGTTCAAATCTCATTTGACTTTCACACCAGCCCTGTGAGAGAGGCAGAAAAAGAATTCTTATCACTATTTTACAAACGAGCATCCTGAGACTCTGCTATCATGTGACTTGCCCAAGGTCACAGCTGGAAAGCATCAGGGCAGGGGCTGAACCCAAATTCCAGATTCTGCTTCGGAGGCTACATGACTGGGGAGTGTTGCTCTGTCCTTAGCAGGGGAGCACTGATTAAGAAGCTACTTGTGACTCAGAGTGAGAATAGCACAGACTGGGGGAGAGGGGGGCACGCAGTGGGATGGCTGTATCATGGCCCAATACTTATTTTTGTATGGCTTGTGAACTAAGAGTACATTCTGTATTTCTAAGTGACTGGAAAAAAAAAAAAACCCAAAGAATAAAATTTTATGACATATGAAAAGTATGTGAAAGTTAAACCTATTCCATAAATAAATTCCATAAATAAAGTTTTCTTTGAATATAACCACACGCATCATTTATATATTGTCCATGCCTATAATGCTGTAGGAGCAGCCCGGAGTCGTCAGGGCAGGCACTGTTCGAGGAACAGACCCGAAACACTCACCAGCTGGCCCTTCCCAGAAAAAGTGTGCTGCGTCCTGGGGACACACTCTGCCCCTGCCCTTTCGAGTGGCAAGTGGTGAGTGTTCAGTGCGTCTCTTTTCATCTCCATTTTCATTCAGTGAAGAAGGAACACATACCTTGTGTTGGAATCCACAGTGGAGCAAAAGAAATTGTGAAAAACTGACCAAACCAGCAGCATTTGAGGTCATGTTTATAAAAATAAAGAAGCTACATAGGATTGTAAATTCTCAGGATTAACCACCTCAGCTGGGCTACCTACATTCCTGCAGCATGGGGTGTTCGGATCCAGCTCTAGGGGAAGGAATGCTATGGGATGAAGCAAAGCCACAACGGAATGGTGCCCCCCCAGAGTTGTGCAACGTGGTGGCACAGGTTGTACTTAAATAAAACTACTAAAATTAAAATAACTGTGAAAGCTTTTAAGAAAATCTTTTTTCTTTTTTTAAGAAAATATATTTCAGTATGCAGAACACTCACCAACTACAAAATCACACAAGAGACTGTCTCCAGAAGGTTTGGTCCCATCAGCCTATTGGCAGAGATAAAATAATGATGGTGATGCCTTCCGTTTATACATGTGTGTAGTGTTTTACAACTGACAAAAAGCCTTCGCTTAGATTTTCTCGTTTTAAACTCCTGAGAACCCTATGAAGTACGGGGTATCTAACCACAAAATCCTACTTCCAAGAAGCAGTGGTTGGATTCACTGAACTAAGTCCAAAGGCATTTAAAGGTCTCTATAGTGTTCATCATAGTGAGAAATATACACACTTCTGGGAAGAGTTCCATCCGATCAACCGCCCATGGCTGAACTTTGTCACTCAGAATCCCTAAGTGGTTTTAAATAATGACTCTCCCTTAAGGAGACCTCACATGTGAGAATGTGGGTTTTAGAGCGAGGCCTGTGTGATGGATGGCATTGTTTTAAAATTCTTAATGGACTTATGCTATGATCTAATCCTTCTCCCCCACCCCAAATAGGGGACTTCTCTCAGCGCTAAATAGAAACAGTTGTTTCTTATTTCCCCTGGGTGAAGTTCCTCCATAAACAATAACAAGTACAAGCCTCAGCACTAAGGTTATAGGATTTTATCCTCTTTTTTGTTCCAAAAATTCCCAATAACCCCTGTGTATGACTAAAGGAGTCTGATCTCCACCGGAACCCTATAATCGAGCTGGCACGCTGGAAGGAAAACAGGGGAACACAGCAATATTTACTTTTGGTTTAAGGGTAGAATTGTAAGAAAGGAGCCCTTGCTATTGCTGCAAAGAGAATGTTAACAAAAGAGATTTATTTGCAGAAAGAACAAACTATAATCAACATTCTGAATTAAATCTCTTCATATACTCTTGAGCAAATTTCGGTCTGCCTCTAGAACCAAATTTCCCTCCTCAGATGGTTAGGCATGGTTTTCATAGATGGGATATTTCTGGGGTTATGCATGAGTAACTGACCACAGCTTTCAGCTTCCAGCTTTCAATTCAGTTCTCCTAAACATGGTAGGATCGAGCAGGCCCGCAGGGAAACAAGGTGCCTACTCGGTACCCACATCTATTGGTGTTTGGCAAAGAGCGAGAGATAGGGAGATGAAGAGAGTCCTCTGTGCAGATCTCTTTCAACATATAGTTTTTATTTACTTCACTGTAAACAATCCCCTTCTCTGGGTTCTTTCAGTATTTATGGCATTCACTGCAATTGCCTGGTCACTTATCTGCACCCTTCCACTCGATCAGTGGTTCTTATCTAGGGTGATTTTTGTGCCCCCGCACCCTACCAGGACATTTGGAAATGTCTGGAGACATTTGGGGTTGTCACAATGGGTAGTGGGGGGGTTGGCTATGGGCACCTAGTGGGTAGAGGCCAAGGATGCTATTCAAAATCCTACAATGCACAGGACAGCCCTCTACAACAAAGAGTTATCCAGCTCAAAAGCATCAACAGAGTCAAGGTTGTGAACCCCTGCATGACACTGTAAAGGCCTTACAGACAGGGTAATGTGTTTACTGTATGCCTGGCATATAATAGGTACCCATAAACATTTTTTGGAATAAGCATAATTGTCATGTGTATCTTATTACTGTGTACATCTCCCCAAAACCAAACTTCATGCTGCTTTCAAGGTAGTCTTCCTAAATGATCTGATCATTGGTTCCTTACCCAAGAGCTTTTTTTTTTTTTAAGATTTTATTTTTTCTAAGTAATCTCCATACCCAACATGGGGCTCAAACCCACAACCCTGAGATCAAGAGTTGCATGCTCCACCAACTGAGCCAGCCAGGCACCCCAATCTTTCAGTGGTTCTTAACTTTTAGAGGTGCATACTGGAATATTTATGGATGAGATGAAATGTCTGGATTTCCTTCAAAACAATCTAGGGACAGAAAGTGATAAAACAAGTTTGGCCATAAATGGGTAGTTGTTGAAACCAGAAGGAGGATTCATGGGACTTGATTCTACTATTCTATTTTTGTATATAGTTGAGATATATATATATATATATATTCCAAAGTAAAAAGTCCCTATGATACCCCTCTCCCTTGGATAAAGACTGAATGACTTAGTCTGTCCATTAAGCATTTCTACCATCTTTTTCCTCAGCTTCTCCTCATCTCTACCTCAGCCTGAGGACAAAACCTGGCTGGGTGCATTAGAGTATTTTTGTTCTGGAAAAATCAAATGTGTTCCAAAAAGTAATGCCTCTCTTGGATTAACTTCCAACTGACGTTCACAACTTTCCCTTTCATTCCCCATCCACCCCTACTCTCCCCAAAATCCTAGTTTGGCTGAGAGGTTAAGAGGAAGGAAAGGAAATTAATATTTACTAAGTGCCCATGATATGCCAGGTGCTGTCCTGAGCACACTTACTTTTGAAAAGTTATGTAGTGGAAATTCAGTATTTTGAACATTTAACTTGCTAAGAATTACGTATCGTACATAAATCATGGCCTATTTGGGGATGATGTTTATTGTCTTTCTCACTCACCTTTTTATATGTGCCCTAAATTTCAGAAAAATGATAACTTTTCCCTTTCACCATTCTCAAAAAATTATCACTGACGTGGTATAGCCGTTTTTATTGTGTAAGCCCTACTGTTCTCAAACGCCACAAAAATGGTCACAGCATCCAAAGCAAACCGCACTAACATGCCTATACTTCAAAATATTTCAGAAAATATGGCAGGATGGCACTACCTCAACTATTTTAATTATTTTGCCATAAACCATAATATGCATAAAGTATTCATGTTTTCTGGGCTTTTTTTGTGAGTTACAATCCAAAGTCACAGAACTTCTAAACTTTAAGACTCTCTTAAACAGCTTCCATCTTACCCTCTGGAGAACAGACTTTTTCCCTAAAACTCTTCATCTTTCCAGTTCACGGTCAATTAGAGTATTTGGGTGTGAACTTGAACGCCAATGTGATATGTATGGCATGAACAGGAGAAGAGGTGGGAAGGGAGAGGTCAAGAGATAGATGCCTGTGTTGCTTGTAGTTTATTAAAAACTAGAAATCAACCTTCCACCTAGCATAAGGCAAAGGGTTTAGAAAGGCACGAACTATGGAATCAAAGTGTCTGGATTTGAATCCCAGATCCACCATTTATTTATATGTGGTGTGACCTTGGTCAAGTTACTTATTCTTGCTCTATACCTGCCTCACAGAAGGGCTATGAGGATTAAATACGAGGATCCACACAAAGCATTTAGCACAGAGCCTGGTACCAAGTAAATGCTCAGTAAATGTGAGATAATCATTGTTGTCATTTCCATGACTATCATCACCACCAGCACCGTCATCTACTGTTGAGAGTTTTAGCAGCAAAAGAATGTTAACCCAGTGCTGGTTCCCAAGGGACTGAGATGGTGGCTACGTGCTGCAGAAGTTCGGGCAAGTTCCATTAAAAATGGTGGCCCAGAGGAGGGACCCAGAGTTATTTAGTCTTGGCCTATTCTCTCTGTCCACAGAAGGAAGAAACACCACCTGAAATGTGTCCACGCCATTGGTATTGGGAGCTACAGAGCAGCTCTCAGCTTGGCTGTGAAGCCAATAACCAGAGACTTTATCTGCTATTGCCCCAGAAAACCCAAGTGTTGAAAAATAAGATGGACCAAACGACCATGGAGACCTGGAACTTTGGCACAGCCTTCAAAGAGTATCTGTGTGGTTAAAAGAGGACAGTGAAACATCCCACTGCCTGAGCAATTTTTATCCCTAAAATTCATTCCAGTAAGAGATACTTCTGGAGATACTGTAGTATCTGTGGCTTACAACAGTAACACACAAAGCTGGCAGGAAGAATGATCATGACCCTGCTATTATTCAAATAAACTAATGCTGTTAGGCAAATGGTCACATTCCCACTTCAAGTGACTATTCCAATTCACTGAGAGGCAGAGGGAAAGCACAGACTCCAGTAGCCTGCCTCATGGAGAAATGATTTCAGAGTCAAAAGAAAATAAACATAAAAGGTGGGAGGAGTCACTCACAGAGCTGAAAACTGCCAGAAAACCGACCCCACTCGGTGCAGTTAGAAAGCACATCTGCACGAAGCCCCTGGGAAGATGGCCATAGTCTAACCTGCATTTGTTTAACAAACCTAAGCAATGAACTTTCTTCACTGCACACTTCTCCACTAAAAGCTACTCTCCATTAGCAAATCTCGTGAAACTGCTTTGATATTTGGTAAAACTTTCCTCTTGAACTTTTATGTAAAAGAACACTGAACTTTCAGGATAATTACACTAAGTTTAAATAAAAGTAACTACCTAATTTACAAGAGGAATTACTTAGAAAAATAACACCAAACTTGAAAGAAGCATGCATGAATTACTAGAGGTTATACTACTGCAGTATTAATGCCCAATTATTGTCGGGCATAGAAAAAAAAGCAAGCTGCTGCCATCAGTTACCCACAGAACTATATCTCTGGAAATAGGTAAGAGTAACAGATGGAGTACGAGGTAGCGGTTGTTATTGTTAAACCACTTTCGCAGTACAAAATGCAGCCAGCTGTTGCCCAATTGTGATATACTTTGCAACCCAATTAATTCACTTATTTCCTTCCCCTGGACCCAATAAACAGGGAACTCTTTGGGCAATAAATTTAAAAAAACACAAAACAGTTTCGTTTTGTTTTTTTTAAAGTAGGCTCCATGGAGCCCAATGCAGGGCTTGAACTCATGACCCTGTGATCAAGACCTCAGCTGAGATCAAGACCAGAGCTGAGACCAAGAGTTGGATGTTTAACCAACTGAGCCACCTAGGTGCTCCTGGGCAATCCATTTAAAGAAGGACTGGCTGGTTCACTGTTTCAAATGGTTGAAAACCAATCATTCAAAGTAAAACAAACAGCAACAACAAAAGGTGTTGCTGAAGAACTAATGAACATCTACTATGTACGTTTCACACCCCTTTCGGGATGACTGGGAAATGAATTAAAATCTATTTGGCTTCTTCAAACAGTAGAGCTGAGTGTTATAGCTGAAAGGGTCTCTAGAAGCCATCTGGTCTAAACCCTTCCTTTTCCAGATACAGAAAATGAAAGTCAAGGACAGAAGGAGAGATCTCCAAAGTCCCATAGCCAGTTAGCAGGGAAAGAGTTGTGCTCCAGGCTCCTGACTCTAAGCCACACCCTCCCCACTATACTCTTGCCTTTCCAAAGTGAGCATGCCCCTAGGAAAAGGGCAGATGCCACCACCAGATATGTCAGCAAGAATGGCACTGCTATTTTCACAAAGGTCACTCCACCAAAGAACAAAATAGACAGCATCCACGTGCCTCTCTATCAGGCACTGTGTGCTTATTCTGTTAGACCCTGCGGCCTGGCCTTGTCAAATCCAACAGTGCTTAGATCAGAAAGGCCATCCCAGGGCTGCCCCCAAGCCGAGACGTGGTAGCAGCTCCACCCAGCAGGTCTCCCAGCCAATGCTCACCAACTGGAGATAGGATGCTTGCTGGCTCTTATCAAGGCTCCAGTGCTGTGCTTCTCCTCTGCCCCTCGGGGTGGTGGAAGGAGGCCCAGAGACCTAGCTCTGAAATATCTAACCCCAGAGGCTGGGAATCCACTTTTACTCTCCCAGCCCTCTCTTAGTTTGGCACCCTTAGACAATGTTTCTAGGTAGTCATAGGTTGTTTTTAGTGGCAAATGTAGCTGCCCAGATAGCCCGAATGTGCCTTTGGCTCCACCCCCCCAGATGTTGCCAGCTGCCTGATGTGTTCTTGCCCGTCCGTGCCCTTCAGTCGTGATGCCCGTCCCATCAGATGCTCTCCACAGTCACCAGGGCCTCAGGTCTATTCCTAATACTCCCATGGAGCCCAGTTCTGCTTCTCTATTGGTTTGGCTGACTTGGCCTACACCAGGTCTGGCTTTGCCTTGCCTGGCCACCTGAGGCCACACCTCCTAGGACGGCATCTTTCCTTTTCTCCTACAAGAAAGTGTAGACTGCTGAATGCTCCTATGTGTGTAGGAAGAGGCACCCTTGGCTTCAAGCAACAAATGTGACTGTGTACAATTCTGAAACCTGAATTATAAAAATGCATTTGGACAGTAGTTCTCAACCTTTCTTCTGCTCTGACCTAAGATGGATGGTATTCACAAACACAACACCCTCCCCCCAACGAAGGCATCTGCGATCTGGACACAGCCCTGGGACTGCTTATACTCAGCACAAACACTACTAGTAGATCATGAAAGATGGGCTGTGGGCTGTTCAATCCTGGCATGCGAGGAAGACCTCAGAGGCTTCCCTGCATACTTGAGGAAGATACTTGAATGGCAAGGGAGAGTGACATTGGGATAGGGACAACTTTGACTCTGATCTAATATTTAAAAGAGGAAATCGTTGGCAAACCTATCACTAATAACTCAGCCATAAGGCAGAGCAGACCCAACTATATAAAAGGCTCCTTTGGCAAAAATCCTTTTCTAAAGTTACTAATTGGCCCTTAAACTTAGTTTTTTTATATATATATTTTATTTATTTGAGAGAGAGAGCACGCACACGCGTGTGCGCATGCATGAAAGCAGAGGCAGAGGGAGAGGGAGAAGCAGACTCCCTTCTGAGTGAGAAGCCCAACTCAGGACTCGATCCCATGACCCTGAGGTCATGACCTGAGCTGAAGCCAGATGCTTAACCGACTGAGTCCCCCAGGCGCCGCGGCCCTTAATGTATCTTTTGAATACAACTGTACTTTGATTTACAGTACTGGAGCTACTGCTTCTTTTTCATTGTTTTAATACTGGAACTTCTTAAAAGGAGCAGCCCTCAGGCCCCTATTCTCTGACTGAGCCTCCCAAAGCGCACCTTTAGCCTCTACTTGCTGGTGGATCACAGCGAGGGGCTTGGTGAATGTCTTCTTATTCTGCATCATGGCCCAGATCATTGAGGCGTCCAGTGAGGTGCAGGCTTCATCCGGGGGCACACACTGCAGAGAGGCAGAGCAAAGCAGGGTCAGGGGTCACTCTGAAGAGCCTGCACCCACTCGGCCTGCACAGTTGTCCTGCGCCCCTTATCAGACAGCTCACAGCTGTTTACCACAGAAAAACAGAAGATCTGGGTGTTTTCCAAAGAACCGTAAATAATCTGGGAGATATAGTGGCAGACCCAGGATAGTCTCAGCTGCACTTGAAGGTTCAAATATCACTGGACGGCTTATAAACACTGCTTTTCTTCCCCATCTTCCCACAAAACAACTAGAGGTTTTAGTGTTATTTAGTCTGAAGAGTAAAGAAACTATATGATGAGCGTTGGCCCTTCACCAAGCTGGCTTCACATAAATGGTTCCTGTTTGTGATTTGTGATTGTGGGAAACTTCATGTGCTGCCTTATGAAAGTGACAGATTTTACATTTGTTGTCCAAAAAGATAATCATGTTGTCCAGTTTGTTTGATTTTTTAAATCCTGGTATAGGCTCATTCAAAATGACGCTTTCCAGGGTCGTCTGCTACAGTGCTCCAAACTGGAGCCCTGGGGAATTGTACCCACGTGTGGGGACCATGAGAACAGTTGTTTCCAGTTATTTTCAGGCCCCAAACTTAGAATTAGCATGCCCAAGCCCGGTATACCTGTTTTTAAAAAGTGTGATCACACTCCAGTACCTTTTTCTTTAAAATAACTTTAGTTCCTTGTCTACGCTCATCAATAGGTGAAACTAACGTAAATGACACCTACTTGCTTTTGTTGTTAAGAAATAGATCTATCCTTTAAAAAGCCTATAGCAAGCCATCCCCCAAAGCTAATAAATTTCAAATCACAAAAGAGCAAAGTCTTTTGGCTTTACTGTCATTGCTGCTCTGAGCAGCGTATTATAAGAAGACAACTTCCTCTCCCTCAAAGCCCAGAGAAAGGCCTTTACAACAAGCCTCTTGCACAGGGAAACAACAGATTGTCTGTGGAAAGGCCTCATTATTGAAAAGATTTGCATTTGAGGACAAACCTTCTTACTGTGCTATCAGTTCTTCAGTTAAGTAAGGGTCAACGACTGTACATCCAACTCACAGCTCGACCCTGGACAAGATACTCAACTCCAGCCTTAGTTTCATCAGCTAAGGGCCAGGCTGGACTCAGCGATCTTTGAGAACGCCTCCTAGAAAGATTCTTTGGCTCTGTGTTATCATCTGAGAAGTCACTAGAACTGTGGAAATATTAACTACAAGCAGTAAACACAGAGACAGTGGTAACAGCTCATGTGAAGCCACTGCTCTATAAATGGCGGACTGTTGTCAAATCTACTGTCTCCTTTGTTCCTCCGCTCCCAAGGGAAGCCAGGTACTATTATTTCACTCTTCCAGATGAAGCCATGCAGATTCTGAGAGGTCAGGGGACTTGCTTCAAGTCTTGTTAGTAAGCAGCATGCCTTCCTTCTCAGTCCTCATGCCCTTTCCTGTTTCTCGTGCCTTGGCTGTAAATAGGGACTTTAGGTTTAGGGTCACATTCCATGTCATCCACTGGGACTTAGAGCTCTCCATAGAATGTTATGGAGGAAAATATTAGGACTAATATTCACACACTAACATGCTACGGATGGTGCCAGGCCAGGCTCAGAGAGAGATAACAACCAAGCCGACAGTAAAGACCCCTAGAAACTGCCAGGCCTCCCCTCCTAGATCTCTAGCTCCTAAAAGTCATCCTCTGGCTGCAGGGAGCAGCTGTGTCTCACAGCCAAGCATTCAGCTTCCCCAGGACTCTCTACCATGGGGAGGTGGTCCCTGGAAGGTGAATGTCCACAAGGCTTAGGCATCAATGTTTCCAAAAGCAACCTAAAGAACATAGTCTGAATCATCTTATACATTCATGCTCCCAAATGATTATGATAAGATTTGCTACATTTTCATATGTAGTATAAAATTTTCTTTGGTGTTGTCAGAGGAATGGATGCCCAGGGGAATATAACAGTGTAAAGCATTCAGATCGGTGGTAATCTATCCAATAATATAATTTTTCCTCTTCCCTCTGTACCTCTATCTTACAACCTATATATTAAGAGAGAATTCCACACATCCATTTATTGATACTGCACAATCATTAGTTTTAGACACTGACTGATATGTGACTACAAAAGTTTTATAAGTCAGCTGACACTGCATGAGATAATTACAGAAGAAGTGCCCATACGGAATTATAAATAATCATGGCAGATCACAGAAACAAAACTATGGCAGAAGACACCTTTCTTGCACAAGGTCAACTAATGAGGTATCGTCATCAACCTTGCAGATTTCCCTCTACACGGCCATTCCAACAAGGTCAAAGTGTTCTGATTTCTGTTGTGGCAATAGAACGTACTGGGTTCAATATGGGGAGGGATATGAGGCAAACATGATGAACAAATATGAAGCTGAGAAAAATTAAAATATTTGTTAGTTTCCCTTAGAAGTCCTCCTGAGACAAGTCAACCTTATAATTCACACAGAGAAGGTCAAAAAACAATTGCAATACAAGTCTCAGCAGGACCTGGAAAAATTAATCCTCACACTGAACTTGTCCTTTCGGCTCTCTGTACTTTTGGCACCGCACACTATCTGAATTGCAAAGATAAAGCCAGACCTCTCCCTCAATGGAAAACAGTCTTGATTTATCATTTGTAAGATACTACTAAGTAGCATGCATGGAAAAAAAAAGTCATACTGTCAGGATTTATTCTCTAAGACTCCATAAAACTCATGGTTCCCTGCTAACACAGATTTTATTACTTCAATTGGGCAGTTCCCAAACCAAAAACCTCAACCTGCAATAACTCGTGATTAAATTTCTCCGGTAGGTCACTGCCTCACCTAAAAATGTCAAAATAACACAGAGATGGATGAAGGCCCGCTAACCTTAGGTAACTTCTGGGGGTCTTTTTCCTTCTTGGTGCACAACGTGAGCTCACATTGTAGAAAGAGCAGTGAGGTGTTGAAAATGGACTTAAACACAAAGCTGAATCGCTTCTTGTCCATCTCAGCTTGTGGGATAGGAAAGTGCACCCTCTTGGGATTGTAAAATTTCACAGATTCGTCTTTAGGACAAATGTTTTCAATGATGGTATAATCAGACATCCTATCAGGGTTTGAATATGGAGAGATAAAGCACGTTTGGATGGCAAATCCCAATTCTTGGTCAGCCTTAGTAACAGATACCTACAAAAGAACAGAAAGAGCAATCAGAACTCACTTGTTGGCATCTCACTTTTACTTTAGGCACAAGGATAACCTATCAACACGGGGCTTCTGATGAGGGACACTGCTTTATTTTCATAACACAATAGTCTTCTTTCTAATTACAAAAGTAATAAATACTCATTGAAAAAAGATGTTTTCCATCTAAACTTGGTATGGATGATGGCAGTGAATTATTTAGTTCAAATGCCAGTCTGGAAGATTCCAATACAAGATGAATTAAGTCTCTTCAACCTCCCATAAGTCCTCTGGGAGATAAAAATAAAGGCATAGCATGCACCTAAAGTGGATTTCCAAAATAAACAAAACACCAACAGACAAAGCACCTAATGTCATAATACTGTGTCATGTCTCAATAGTGTACCACCTGTAAAGCAAGCTATTTTTCAAAGCTGCTCGAAAAATAAAGTACAGAGGCAGAATCTATTTAACCTAGGCAGAGAGGACTGAACTTCTAAACTGCCCCAAGTCAGAATGAGCCTAAAACCTTGCAGTAAAACTGCAGATTCATCTCAAGTCCTGCTTCATAGCAAGCAGGCAGAGCTGGCCTACAGGCTTTGGTGTCCGGGACCGTACAATCTGGTGGCGATCACAAGCCTGGCAAAGTGTCCTAGCTGCTCACAGGTCCAAACCAGGCCTTGCCAAGTACTCTCCCTTCACTCTTTAAGCCCAAGGGTATTTTAAGGGAAATCTAATCTGGAAATGTTTCCAACTCATTATACTTCCCTCTTACAAAACATTTGTATGGGCTCTGTCCAAACCTTGTTAAGGTTCTTTTCTTTAGAAACAGGAAGTGGTGTTTGGCCAAGTATAAACAGAATTCAAACCTCAACTCTCCTGAACGCAGCTAAAATCCCCAGGCCAGAGTGGATTCTCCATTTGGTGACACACGGATCGCTGCGTGAACTGCCTTTCCCCCTCATGCTTCATTCCCTGCCTAAACTTAGGATCAAAATAAACATAAACACTTTAGAAATAAAGTTAGTCCTTAACCATAAGCCAATAGCCCCAGAAGCCTTTCAAAAGGCATGGAGATATAAACACACTTTCCATCCTGAGAACCCAGGGGAAACCCCTGACATCGCATGGGGCTCTGAGGACGCAGCACTATTTTGAAAGATCCCTCCGCGGTAAGGCCAAGACACTCAGCAATGAAGCTGATTGTCATTATGTCACGCGGCGCTTTAAAGCTCAATCCCCCTCTGACTGTGAGATAAAGAGTTTCATCCCCATTTTGGAGGAAAAATGAACATACAGGATAGACGACTCGTTCAAAATCCTACCTGGGAAGCACCGGATAAAACCAAGCCTTAAACCCAGGTCTTCCAGCTTCAAGCCCATTTTCTCTTTACTATTTCACTGTAGCCACAGGGTTGATTGAACCAAACCCACCATGCGGCCTTGGGAGAACACCTGGTGGGAAATCTTTCTAGGAAGTAGTGTTTGGGAGTCTGCAAATATTCACACATCATTATTTTGCCAATATTTCTGAAAAATAATATATTTTATCTGGGAAAGATGGCAAATTACATATATCCTATTACTAAAAAGTACCCTTTAACATGAACTCAGAACCCACAATGCAAACATGTAGACAGAAGAAGAGATGTAAATCTTTTCTCGAATCTCAAAGAAAGCATGTAATGGTAGAAACTCTAAGGTATCCCAAAAAGTTGTTTTAGAGGAAAAAATATTATCAGCAAGTCCTTTAATCTAAAGTGCCCTGGGCGGGGGAGGGTGGGCACAGTCAGTTAAGTGGCTGCCTCTTGGTTTCGGTTCAGGTCGTGAGAACGAACCTTGCATCTGACTCTGCGCGCTGAGCGTGGAGTCTGCTTGGATTCTCTTCCCTCTTTCTCTGCCCCTCCCCCACTCCGATAAATAAATCAATCTTGTAAAAAAATAAAATGGCCTAGAAATGAGTAGTAGAAGGACTACAGGTCTCAGAGGGAGACAAGCCTCAGGAAATTGTGTGGCTCATGGCCTGTGAACTCTGAGCCTCATTTCCTCCCATACAGAAGGGCACCAATACCAACTAGAAACAATTATTGTGAGGATCTGTAAAGTCACAATTACCCGCAAACAACACAGTTCCCAGCTAGTCAATACACGACAGCTGTAATCAGCAGTACTACTCTAGATTTAAATTTGGGGGGTTATAAACAGTTCTTTTTAATGCCCCAAGACAAATGAACTAACAGAAAAGCTGCCATGACGTGACCAACTATCACCCGGAGATGACCAAAGACCACGTGGCAAAATCAATAATGTCTTGGATTAAAGGAAAGGATATGGTCGAGAAGGAACAGGATTCTGGGGGTGTGATAAGGATGGCTGGGAGAAGAAACTTGGTAATAGTTTTCTAGCCCAAACCAATGGTTCAGTGAGTTTTACTTAAATAAAAAAACTTTCTTACCAGCATTGGAGTCCAAACAGAAACAAAGATTAGGTGTGGCTGCTATTTTATTTTGCAAAATATTTACAGATTCTCTATTTTAGGTGGGTTTTTTTTTTAAATATTTTATTTATTTATTTGACAGAGAGAGACACAGCAAGAGAGGGAACACAAGCAGGGGGAGTGGGAGAGGGAGAAGCAGGCTCCCTGCCCAGGAGGGAGCCCGATGCGGGGCTCGATCCCAGGACCCTGGGATCATGACCTGAGCCGAAGGCAGACGCTTAACGACTGAGCCACCCAGGCGCCCCAATTTTAGGTGGTTTTAAACAACTTTGAAATAAAGCTGTTTAAAACATATACCACCCTCCTCAAACTCTCAGTACACCTGATATTTAAAATGGTAGCAAATAGGGGCGCCTGGGAGTGGCTCAGTCGTTAAGTGTCTGCCTTCAGCTCAGGTCATGGTCCCAGGGTCCTGGGATCGAGCCCCGCATCGGGCTCCCTGCTCAGTAGGGAGCCTGCTTCTCCCTCTCCCTCTGCCTCTCCCCTTGCTTGTGTTCTCTCTCTCTCACTGTGTCTCTCTGTCAAATGAATAAAATCTTTAAAAAAAAAATTAAAATAAAATAAATAAATAAAACGGTAGCAAATAGATTCAGTCCATTTCTTTTTCATCATTTCACAATGTCTTTGACTAAATTTACCTATGAAAAATACAGATGATATATGAAAAGATATAAATGTGAAAATAAGGGAAAAAAAGAATTTCAAGTAAGCAGCACTGGGTGGACTGGGGAGAAAAACCAAAACTCCCAGGGTAGGATACAGGAGGAAGACTGGCCAGTGATTAGCATAGAGCAGCAAAGCCATAAATTAGCAGAGCCAGGTACACATTTGGAAAAGAACAAACTGCAGTTAAGCAGGGCCCCTAAAACCCAGGGCATGACAGAGAGTCACTGCCCAAATGCACACAGGTGGACTGTGCAGCCAGAAATGCAAGAAGAAAATAATGCTCTTGGATAAGAAATGATCTATAATTAGGAACAGCATGTAGAAAGCAGTATATTTTCCCCAGTGGAGAAAGAAGGTATACCCAAAGAAAGAGAAGACCTCTCAAAACAGGGAATCAAAAAAGAGGAGAGATCTAGGAAAATGTCTAGAGCCAGTGGGCTCTATCCCAGAATCTGAACAAATGTGAGAGTTATTTATCTTTCTGAAATAGAAATATGTGCTCTGAAGTCACTTTCAACGTATGGAAGTATCCCATTTCGACCCCGTAAGCTTCTCACTCCTCGCACAGTAAAGTAGAACACTAGCTTGCAGTTTAGCCCCAAAACTAGCTCAGGAGAGGATGATGTTCCTGTAAGACCAGCAGATATCCTAGAATCTAATCTAAACCTGGATATTTGCCCTGCTAAGTGGTCATATTTTCTCCTCTTTAAATGGCACTTTGAGGATAAATGATAGTAGCATTGAGTGGGCTCTTGAGCCAGACAACCTGAGTATGGACCCTACTCTGAACTCCACTAGTAACTGTCTGACCTTAGACAAGTTTGTGCCTCAATTTCCTCACCCCTAAAATGGGGATATCAATAGTCTTGTCTCAATGGACTGCTTTGAAGAGTAAATTACTACAATAATTATAACCAAGTTTGGCATAAAATAAATCTGCAACAAATATTAGCTGTTATTACTTCATTCTTACTACCACTACCTAATATTTTTATAGTTATTCCACAAACTTATGCTATGCATAATCATTACCATTACATATATGGAACAGCTTACTGCATTTATAGATACATTTAGATAATGATCTAAAAAAAACCTTAATTTTCATGAGATAGGGTAGCACGCAGCATTTCACTGTGGTACCATGTGAGGTGGTGTGAAATGTTCCTGGTTAACTCTGACACTACAACTACTGAACCCCTGTTCCAAAAAAGCTAATGACAAGCAAGAACGGGGCTTTATTAGTAGAATTCACACCACTGATTTTTTTATTTTATTTTATTTTATTTGACAGAGAGAGAGAGTACAAGCGGGGGGAGCTACAGGCAGAGGGAGAGAGGGAGAAGCAGGCTCTCCGCTGAGCAAGGAACCTGATGCAGGACTCAATCCCGGGACCCTGGGATCATGACCCGAGCCGAAGGCAGACGCTTAACCGACTGAGCCACCCAGGTGCCCCATCACACCACCGATTTTCTAAAAAAGCATTCATCTGTAAAACGCTCTCCCCATGTAGCAAATCCTGCAATGTCTTACTTTGGTCAGAAATCAACCTGGATGCATTTTCTGAGCCAAGCCCTCACGGAGAGCTGGTTAATGGCCACAGGGAAGAACATGATGAGGTCTTCTGCTGCAGGCACCTTGGCTCTGCCCCAGGAGCTATGACAATTCTGCCCTAACCTAAAAGCCCAAGGCTAATGTCCAGGTCTCATACCTCAACATAAATGTGTCCATTCTCTGCCACGGAGAAGACCCCCTGAGAGGGCACGAGAAAGAGGTCAGTGTTGTACAGCTCCATGTTGAAAGTGATGTTTCTGTTGGGTGGGTCCTGGAAGCTATTGGGATTCCCCACCTGCCGCAGGCTGCAATTAAACTGGGGAAAACAAACAAACAAACAAAACAGAGATAAATCCCAGTCAAATGAAGGATGAAGACCCTGGAACTTTGTAAGCTTTGGTCTTTAACATCCATTCTCCACCCGCCAACCACCCCCCCCCCCCCCCCCCCCCCCCCCCGCTCCGCATATCTACACCTGCAAGTCCGCATGCCGAGTAAAAATGCCCCCCGCCGCCACCCGCTAGTCCCTAACTAAAGCCAACCAAAAAGACAACATTCTCACAAACTACCTGCTGCAAACGAACACGTACCACCACAATTTCAGGTCGGCCGAAGAAGGAGGTATCGCTTTCATCCATATCTCCTGGAAATCCATTATCGCCTGACTCCAAATCTTCATAACCATCTGGCCAGCCACTACTATCTCCAGGTGACGGAACCTGTATCACAATCTAAAAGGCAAAGAAAGCACAGTGTTGTTAAGACACCAAATCAATGATTTGGTTCTACCTCACACAAACACCCATGTAATAATTCAGATGCAAACTGAAAATCTGAACTTAAGAAAAAAAACAACAAAACTCCAAGTTTTCTTAGGATTCTACCTTCAAAGAGATCAAAAATAAAGAGAAACCCAACATACGTTCCAATTAAGACTTGAACTAAAATATGCATTTTTCCTTGTGAAAAATAAGACTTGTTTCAGTGGGAACAAACTAGGCACTGAAATAGGGCTGAACGGGGTTGTCAGTAGGCCAGTCTACACTGGAAGGGAGGGGGGCTTCTCTTTACATCAAAAATTCTAACAAATACTAAGAGCAAGCTAATTCAAAGAACTTTTCTTATTTGTACCCATCAAGATTTGTATAAAGTGTGAGTTGGAAACTAAGTACCTAATGTTTACTATTGAGCTAGTCCCCTCCTCTTTTCTCTGTACTCCTCTATCTTTTCCTCATTTCCTCCCCCATATCTTTGTGTATGGTACAGATGCAGGAAAGAATCATGTTTTTATCTATGACAATCTATCTTAATGTTAGTTGAAATGACTATTCCTAGGTTAGTTCTAGATAACATGTAAAATTCACCTGAGGACCATGACTCCATAAACAAAATCTTAATTTCTTTGCATTTATAGAATGCTCACATTTTTTGTTTGGTTTTATTTCATGGGCTTAGATTTTTGAATATGGTGCAAAACAAAAATATGTATTAAGTCAGAAAATTGCTACAGTTATAATTGGAACAGCTACAATATTCACTGAAGGGAACAGCATGGGAAGGGAATGTAGGAAAACCACTTCTCCATTCTTTACCAGTTCCGCAGAAAGAAGTATTGATGGAATTGAAGCCAAGTACCCAGGACATTGCTTACCCTACGTATCATCATCATAATATACATACACATACACACACACACACACACACATACACACCCATGAGAAGAAAGGGATTTTAAGGGCTTAAGATACACCTTTCTCTTCTGAGGCAAATTTTTGTTTTTGTTTGTTTGTTTGTTTTACTTAACAGATTACCATAGCCTCTTATTGGTGTTAATTTAGTCATAAATTTAAAATTCCAAAATCAAGTATATCAGTGATATCTGCCATTCATTATATCTGGAAAAACTGGGTAATGTAAGAAAATTTAGTGTTGGAATTGGCAGGAGGGTGTTCATCATAGAGGTCAAAGGTTAATAAATGATTCCAGTAACAAAGGGAGATTAGCTGGGCCAGCCTGGTGTCAGGGAAAGATTAGTGGATGAGAGGTCAGGAAGCTGGATTCAGTCCTGGCTCTGCCGTTAACTAGTTCCTCAAATCTAAGCAAGTCTCTTAATTCCCGGGAGTTCAATTTCCTCACCTGTGAAATGAGGAAGTTGAATGAGATCATCTGAAGGTTCTTTCCAGCTCAAACACTCTATGTCTGAAGAATAATAAACTTGGATCCATAGGAGAGTCAGTGCCCACGTGAGCCACCCTGACAGAGCACCTGATCTCCAGTCTTTCTTCTGGATGGGTCAAGTGTATCTACTGAAGGGCAGTGGGACGGACATGAATGACAGTCCCACCCACCCTGTCCCATGCCAAAGCTGAACTCGGGGATTTATGAGCCTTATTTTTGCCATCAAAAGTATAACCTGAACTGCAAAATTAACACTATAAAGTACTTGTGAAATTTCATGTTTCAAATTCTTTTAATATTCACTGCCTAGTGTGTATTTCTGCAAGAACTGGCTTAATCTGAAGAAAAAAGATTTAGATGAATGAGCTGATGAGAAGGATTTCTGAAAAGTGTAGGTTAGCTATTGCAGTGGGTTATCATTGGGGGAATCTATGTAATCTCGCTTTGGGTAACGTCAAAAGTAGCAAATCTCCTGATTTGCTTCATTGTAGGATCTTTCTCAGAGGTGGAGAGAGACTTAATAATTTCTTGAGAGCCGTTTTCGGATTTCTCTTGGTTCTTTTGTTCATGAGGAAAGGAGAGGTCCTCCCATCTCTGGACAAAACTCAAATGAGGCCACAGAGACCATGTAGCTGGTTAGCTCAGTTGTGTAGACTCAGGGTCAAAGTACACCCCATTTTGTTGAGAACTGACGCTTGGCTTTGTTTAGGCCTGGGGTACACGCCCCTGCTCATGGTCATAGAAACTTTAAGGCTAATTTTAAGGTAACACCTGGCAAGGCTATGGCAAAGGGCCAAGCTTTGTTTTGGAGAACACTCACGGAATTATAGTAAACCACACCATCTGGGGCTGACCGCCGGTGACGAGTACCACAGCCATTCAGGGGAGACTCCAAAATGAAGTGCGTGCCATTCATCTTGGCCTTGCAGGTAGGATCCAACAGGGTGAGCTCCATCCCTGAGTAGCTGTTGGCCTGAAACAACCACCACCAAAGACGTAAAGGGGGGCCCCACAGGCAGGTCTGCAGCACACGGGGAGCACGTTTTGCCCAGTCTTCCCATACAGTATTGGTTGCTGGAGGCCTGCGTTTCCCCTCCCTGCTCGCCTCCTCCCAACCTACCAAGGATTGTGTTTGTTGGCCTTGGAAATTCAATACCAAAATATTGACACATGAGGATCTGGAACCCCCCTCAACTGAGAACAACAGGACCCGAGTGAGACTCCCAGCCAAGGGGAAGTGAGTCCGTCCAACTGAGAAAACAGTATCAAGTCCCCAGAGTTCAAAAGTGAAAGAAAGAGAAGGAAATAACTAACACACACTGGCGCAAGAGGGGAAAGGAGGTGGCTTTCTCTTCTCTAAGAAATTGCAATGACCTGAAGAGAATCTTTTTCTACAGCCACGATCATCTTCTCATCATCACATCTGACTGACAGGGCAACCTCCATGTTCCCTTGCACCTCCTCAGGCTCTGTGGGATCAGGAAACAGTTGTATGCTGGGGATGACCGGGGCCTTTGGCCGGGGGATCCCATCTTCTCCTCCTTCCTTCTGGCCTCTCCTGGAGATGTCAGGGAAAGGAAAGGGGAAACCTCCATTTCGGCCTCCCCCTCCTCGGATGGGTGGGTTCTCCAGGGCAGGCAGGGCGACAGGGTCCAGCAAGATCCGTAGCTCAGGAGGGATGGTATGGACTTCCTCATCTCTCATTTCCTCTGGTGGTGACAGAAGGCGGCAAAACATCATCAGTGTTTGATACCAGGCCACAATCATCATCACTAGACGGAAGAACAAGGGGAACTAGCACAGAATGGGCATGTGTAAAATGACTCTTCACAAGCAATGTGTAAAAGAGACGGGGATCTGGAAGCCTGAGTTCTAGTCCTGGTGTTCTTTCTAACTGACTGAGTGGCTTGGGGCCAATGGCTTATTTCTCTGTGTCTTGGTTTTCTAATTTTTAAAATTGAGGTTGGATTGGATCAATAGTTCTCTACTTGGGCTGCACATTAAAATTATTTGGGGAACTGAAAAAAATTCCCTATACCCAGGCTGTACCCCAGGTCAAATAAAAATCAGACTCTCTGGAGTGGGACCTAATCATTAAGATGTTTAAAGCTCTCTGTATGGTTCCAATGTACACCCAAGGTTGAGAACCATTGGACTAGATAACTTCTAAGGCTCTACAAGCTATACAAATCTATGATTTGAATAAGAACATTATTGTCCCAATATATTATTGGGCCACTGAAATACCTCCCTTGAATCTAGAAATTCTTTAGAATAATTTCTCTATGGAATTCTTGAAACAATATTGGCATTTTAAAATTATTCGCTATCTCCTTTCTGCCTACTAAATTCCAACAGCTATCTAGGCATCCTGGCCTTTTAGGACCTAGTCCTGAAAAGAGAAAGTTGCTTAGGCACACTTATTCCTTAAAACGGAGAGACGTATCTCCATATAATTAATGCTCAGTGTTCTGTCCTATTTTCAACAATTTAGGGAAGAAAAATTTTCCCAGTGTTGTCCATATCCAGTCTCAAAGCCAATGCCTGAGGTCAGTCCACCTCAGTGGGAGCAGGAAGTGAAGATAACCAGAGGACATGAACTCTCCTTCAATACTATCTTTTGGAAAAAGATGGCACAGCCGTATGGATCCAAAAGAAATCAGAGCTTTGGAAGGTGTTTAATTTGTACGTTGATAGAAACCTTCACAACTCTTTGAGGTAGGGCCTGTTTTTTCTCCCATATTACTGAGGAGGAACCTGAGGCTCAGAGGTTAAGCAACTTCCCCCTGAAACGGCGAATAAATGGCCCGTACTCACACTTGGTAGCAGTACCACTGGGGTAAGGAACAGGTCTGGGGATCAGAAAACTTGGGATTTGAGTCTCGCTAGCTACAAGGCTCTGGAAAAACCTCAAGAACCTGTTAATATTCCATTTTCTGCTCCATCCAACTGGGGTAAGAACTTCTGTGTTCCCTCTGGGTGAGATTGAGAAAGTGCCTGGTGACTACCGTCCTGCAAGATACAGCTTGACCTAGGACTTCTCCCCTGTAGTAGGAGCAGCTGTACCTCAGCTGTAGGTGATTAGTAGGCACTTCTGAGAGAAGAATCCAGGCTAATTTGCTCCTAATGTAATCACAGTGAATTACGTGATCTACAACGAAGTTCTCCAACATGCAATCAACTGTGTTGGTGAGAAATCTGTACCAAAGACCATTTCCTCAAAATAATCTATCACAATTCTAGATAACCTTAAGCTTTATAGTAGTCAAATGAATCATCAAAATTTACAACAGAACAACAGCACCATATAAGCTGAAATGAGAGTTCCTCATTGGAAAGCCTCATTTGGTGGATATTTTTACTTGAGGAAAAAAAAAATCACACTTACCGTTGTTTTCAAGCTGAAGATGGAATCTATTAGCCACAGGAGCCACTGTATATGATGTTACTGGACTATAGCCATTGTCCAAAGCCCACTTGACCAGATTCTCTTGGGTTGAAGGAATGTCATCTCTTATTGATTTGGTCATTATCATGGATCTTTCACTCTCTTTCCCAAAGCCAATACTGTTAGGAGCCTAAAGATAACAGCAAAATTTCACTCATGAGTCTAAAACTAAACAGTGCTTTAAATAAGAATTGAATAGCTGAAACAAACAGATTCTACATATTGTAGATGAAGGAACTATTTATTCTTTTGATCCCTATTTTCCTTGGACTAAGGACACTGGCATGAAAATCTTTAATAGCAGATTAAAAGAAATCTATTCATGCTGTTTGATCATACCATTTGGGCTGCTTATATTGATAAAAATAACCCAATGATCACTGAGTAGCTACATACTAAGTATACCTAATATGTTACCAGAGTTAATGTTTTAAATTATATATGCATACATATCAAACTTTCCCTTATTTTTACTTAAAATGATGTATAAAATATACAGATGTGCATGTTATCCTGCCAAAAATATGTCCCTGCTTCTATCTCCTGTACCCTAGATTTAAATGAAAGAAGTCACAACCTAGTTACTTCACTGTGGAGACCGTCTCATCTTTGTAAACTATTAAATTCCATATGGTGAAATAACCAGTACTGATATTGCAGTTATAATTTATGATCAATTTAGTGATCCTGTCACTGTATTCATTTGTCAAGTTTATTAACTGTATATGCTTAGATTTTGTCTTTTAAATATTAATTCCTTAATTTGGGTTATTGTCTCTCTAACGGATATTTCATCCAGCAATACAAGTTGACTTTCACTTGGTAATTAGTTACAAAATGAATAGTGAATGATAGAAATCCTTCCAAGAAAGGACTGAGTAACCAAGACACGGATGGTAAATTTCCACATCACCTGGCTCCTAGGACAGTGATCTTGTCAGATGCGAGGGAGCTGAATGCTGTAGGGGAGGTGCCAAAGCGAAGGCACCACCTTTTCAACAACTGCTCCAACAAGGCTGGCAAGCCCTTCCAGCACGCAGATCAGACCATTTTCATGCCATATAAAGATCACTTTAATTTCCATGCCCAATTATTTTCTCCTGCATACATGCAGCATTTTTTCCCAAATTCCCCATTTGTTTCCCATTCTGTTTGCCCCTAACAGGACTAAATATTAATCCTTTCCCACTGCAAAACCATAGAAGATTCACAAGGCACTAAGCTCTCTTGGCCTCTTTGGTTGTGAGATATTGGCCGAGGACACATATTTTCAATTCAAAGCTCAAAGGCTCTCCCCCAGGGTATTTTTCTGTTACCCAAAGTGCTTCTCCAAAGCTGCGAAGCTGCGTGACTGGCCAGTCACAATCATGCATGTGAAGGAACCATGCTTTGCAGCCATTTGTGAAAAACTCAGTTTCACAGGTTTGGAATCTTCTAGCTCTTACTTTGATTCAGAGAAAACGCCCTGGGGGAAGGAAGGGTTAAAAAAAAAAACTAAACTAAAATGAGGTAAAGAAGGATCCAATTCGTTCTTAAAACTTAAGTTTCTTAGGCGCAGCTTCTAGCCTTTCAAAGCAGCATGTCATTTTGGTTGGCTGGACTTGCAACACTGGCCTAAACAGGACTGCTTGGCCTCATCTGCCCTAGTCTTTTATGTTGTTGGACAGCTGAGAAAATACTGTATTTCCAGAATACTATCATCACAACTGCCACCTGTCTTTTTTGTACCAGTATGGAATGATTTGTTTACACCTTTCCACATTAAATCTAGGAGCTGTCAGTACAACTCATATTGATTACGCCTCGGGACTTACAAAGCTAGAAATCTATCTACACATTTGTAAAACAGCAAGGCTTGGCAAGTTGGTTCCTTCCCAGCAATGAGCAAATTCCTCACCCTGTATTTCTGGGAGTCCCCAGGCTTTTCCAAGGCTTCAGTGTAGCTACTCCAAATGGGAGTTTTCCGGGGGGGGGTTCCTCCAAATACCACCACTATGTTTCAGCCACGTCTTTGTGAAGGATGGTGAGCTAGGTAGAGTCCAAGCACCTCCCTCCCCTCTTCCCCTCCACTGCCAAACACACACTTGCATCAGAACTGATGGTGGAGGGTGAGAGGTTGGTCAGAGATGTAATGCATATTCCCACTGGGATTAAAACATGTCTTTTCTAAGAACAAGCTGCCTATCATCAACTCTGAAGTGCTAAGGCCATTTGAAATAGTATAACAAAAAATTTCTAATAAGTTTCCTCCATCCATTCTTTTATGTTTCAGACTTTCTTCCAAAATGTGATTATGCATGGTCCGTAAGGGACCTGAAGAAAGAGCCAGAGCTGGGCATTGTGGATGCTTCTAGTATTCCCGTTCTTGTCCACAGTCCTGCCCTTTGCATCTCTTTGGACCGTTCTGTCATTTGGAGGGTGCATTCTGCCCCATGCCCCAGCCCCTACAAGCACACACATGCCATTCATGTTTAATGGGGCGCTTCTTTACATTTACCCCATCAAGTTCCTTATAATTCTTTTAGTAGACATTTTGTTTTTCACTTTGTTTAGAGAAGTTGCTCTTATAGACAAATTTTCGAGAAATTGCTTGTGGAAGGAAGATGAACTCCCTTTTTATGGCAAACATTGTGCTAGAAGCTTTACATATGTTCTTTAATTCTCCTGTAAAATATAAGGAGATGGGCATTATTATTCCCTGATTAGAGAGGGGAACCCTCAGGTGCACAGAAATAGCACGTATGGTGGAGAACCCACCATGTACACCCAGTGTGGCAAGTGCTTTAGATGAAATACCCAGTAGGCACCTGACAAACGTTTGTTGAATGAGTAAATAAAGAATGAAGGAATGAACGAACTCTACCATACCTCACAAGAACTCTCGAGGTGAGTACTATCATCATATCCGTTTCGTAGGTGAGGCCACAGACTATCAACTAAGGATTGTCATTCCTCTACCAACTAAGAGGAATGACAATCAGAAATGGGATTTGATTCCAGCCCTGTCAGGCACCAAAGCCATGGTTCTTGCCACTCTACCAGGCTATCGCTGAAGAAAATACTATGAACAAGGCCACTATAAACCCTATCCCCTTTCTAAGTGTGAGTGTATGTTTTTTTAGTAGCAGGTATCTTCCCCTCATTGCACAGGCAGAATTCACATCTGAGACTGGGAGTTAGGAAATCACAAAGCATGAAACGGATTGGGAGAATAAAAAAGAACATCATGCAACATTACCTAATTGTTTAGTAATGTTGTCATGCATTGTCCAAAATTGGCCTGGAACAGGAGTACAGCCAAAGAGGGGAATATAAACAGATCTTGCACTGGGATGAGCAATCTCATTTCTAGCCTTTCTTATTCATATGAAAAGTGAAGGCATTCACAGCGAACTCCAGGAACACATGCTCAGGTACAGAGAGAGCCACTGAAGGGTCAGAGCCGAAAGAACATTTACACAACTCCAGCAGGGAATTAAAATGTACCGTATGTTTTTGCCTTTCAAAGCATGATTCCCTTTCCTGTTTTTGTTATTCTGAAAATTAAAAACATTTGGTTGGTGTGCCAGGCAGCAAATGCTGTAGACACCCCAGGTCACCAACACCCCTCATGCCATGCCAGGGAAAGCAATCAAAACAGCTCTGACTTCAGAAAATCACGGCTGGGCTTTGTTCTCAACACCAAATTAATGGATCACCCTTACACACGATGGCTTATTTAGATCCTCTCAAAGTTTAAAAAAAAAAAAAAAACCCACAGGAACCAGAAACGATTACTTTAAAATTAAGATGTGTATGCTCGTGGCTTTGCCTGCTGCCTCTGGTGAGTGCTCGTGCATGATGGTACCTAGGGGAGCAGCGGCTTTGTTCACTGCTGTATCACACTTAAGGATAAATGACACCCAAACCAAAGGCATCCCCCCCACCCAAATACTGAAAACATAAAATCCTCTCCAACTGATACAATGCAGGTACTGAAAAAGGAATCAGACACAATTTTTTAAAAAGACAATGCACAAAAATTGAAATCTACAAAAGAGATGCTAAGATAGTTATATTCTTGAAAATGAAGAGGGGGAGTTTTCCTTTAACTTTCAATGTAATTTGTGCAATATTCTGTCAAACAGTTATCTTCCTAAAAATATTTGAAAAAGATTTATTTTGGGGCACCTGGGTGGTGCAGTCGGTTAAGCGTCCGAATCTTGGTTTCAGCTCAGGCCATGATGCCGGGGTTGTGGGATCGAGCCCCGTGTCAGGCTCCTCACTTAATACGGAGTCTGCTTGAGATTCTCTCTCCCTCTCCTTCTAAGCTTTCCCCCACTCTCTCTCTCAAATAAAGAAATAAATCTTTAAAAAAATTTATTTTACTAAATTTCAACATTCAACTTTTCAGGAGATTAGCTGCTGTTTGCCTATCACACCAACCAATTAAACTTCTTAAGTATATTTCCTTCATGAAAATAATGTTTAGGGAATAGGCTGGGGGTACTTTTCCTGTATCATTTCACTAACCTCTCCATTACTGTGATTCTTTTATCAGTGTTTCTCTCTCAGAAGTCAGAAGAAGCAAAAAGACACGCCAATAGCATGTACTTATCTCAAAAAGAAAAGTCAACAGTATGAGCTGGGGTCAGCCCAATTTTCCACACCTTCCCTAAATACCTCACCCCAAAGTAAGAGCTGATATTCAGTACCACGACACTGAGGCCCTTACAGGACTGTCAGCCATGAAAGGCCCCATTATGCAAGTTATTCTACACTTACTCTGACTGGAAACTACACTCATACACTTCAGGAATTTCACAAATGAGGCAACAGGGTCCAGAGAGGTTAAGGGACTCGCCCAAGGTCACCGTTTTTAAATGGCAGAGTCTGGACTCAATCTCGATCTTGACCCCAGAGGCCACGCTTTTAACCACCACACTGTCTGCCCTTGTCAGGAGAAACCAAGGAGCAGCCTATTTCACAAAGTGAAAAACAACAGAGAGAGCTCAGAGAAGCAGAAACTTCACAAAAATAACACACATAAAATTGCTGCCATGCATCAAAACAAAGAAATGCTCAACCAACTTACAACAACTTTCAGGTTTCCCTTAACATCAAAAGACTTGATCACCCAGTTGACAGACTTTTTGCACTTCAAGATCAGGATGAGATTTTTGACCACCTCAAGGTCCTTTTGAGAAGGTCTTATGTCAATTATTATGTCCACCTGGAAAGCACTGTGAATGGAAAACAAAGGCAAAGTTAGGACCCAAATGCCAGAAAGTTGCAACTCTCTCCTCTCTTCCAAGTCTTCATGTTTCCAGTGTCTGGCCAGTTGATTAAAAAGCTGGAGTTGATCCCAGGCAAATGACATGTGCAAAACAGATTGTTAGTGCACACAAAACAAAATGGTTTTACATAACAATAGACAAATATGCCTGCTGATAATTGGACACTAAAATTTTTCTCCTTCTTTAGGAAAAAAAAAAAAAAGATGGTTACTTAATGCATCCACTGTTTGAAATGGACTTGGGCAACCAGAGGAGTTTACTTTTAAAGCAGAATTGTTGCTTTTCAACCTTCAACACCTTCAATGTGTAACTTTCCAATTTCCTATATGCTCAAAATCCTTCAAAACCAGAAATTTAAGTGCCAGTTTGGTAAGGAAGGTGGCAGGGAGGAGGGAGGCCTGGTAATAAAAACAAAACAAACAAACAAACAAAAAAACCAAACTAGGACACTTCAGATAAAATAAGTGAAAGGCTAGAAAATTTGACTTACATAAGGTTTGCTTAAGCCATTAACATTAGCTACAGAATCATATCTGTATTTACTTTCCCAAACTTCTGGATATACAGTTATTAAAATAAAGAAAACAGATGGCCAACCAAGTGATTACTGGAAAATTGATGAACACAACCCAAACTTCTAAGAATTTAGTATAAAAGAGATTTTTTTTAACCAAATAATAACATTTCTGTCATTCTGAATTAAAGGAAAGTATTTCTTTCCATTTGGTTTTACACACTTGTAAAGCATATGATGAATGATATACTCAGATGAAGCCTAAGGCTTAATATCTAAGCACATTTGCCAGATTGCTTCTATTCCTGTTCTCTTTTAAATTTTCCACAAAATTCTTCATGTGGGACAGAATGGAATCTTCCCAAAACTGATGTGTAGTTTATTCGCTTTTGAAAGCAAAATTTGATTAGAATTTTAACTTTGAAATCCCTCTACAATATAAATTTACATTTTAAGTCACTAGTCCACAGGAATGCAGGCTAAAGTGGGAGAAAAAGCCACTTTTCCTCTTTTATTCTCTTTTTTAATTCCCTAATCATTCTTGACGGGGAGAGTTAAATTTTTAGTCCTGGGGCAAGAAGCTGAGGGTAGAAGAAGGAGAAAAAGAACACAAGCGAGGGGCAGGTCGTATCTCATGGCTGTCTGGTGTGTCACCATGAAGGGTCACACCTACACACACATACACACACACACACAGCTTTAAAGTATGAGTGCAAATATGCTACTAGAACACTAGGAACAGAATTTTATTAAAAACAGAATGTTATTAAAATTATAATTATGTTAATAAGGCATGTAATTATTTTTTATCAGGGATAACCTCAAAGGAGACATCAGTGTCCAGAAGTTCAGAAGAGGCTTCAGAAACTTATCTAGAATATAGGAGATCTTAGAGACAGATGTAGAAAATAAAATACACCATTGGTGCCTTCACTCCCTTTTTCAAAACTTCTGTTAGTTCACCCAAAGCATCTAACCTTCTACACAGGAAGAGTTGTACCTCTCTCTGCCTCAAGTCAGTAAAGATCTTTATTTTCATCTCTCTCTCTCTTTTTTAAGATTTTATTTATTTATTTATTTGAGAGAGAGAGAGAGAGAGCAAGCGGGGGGAGGGGAAAGGGGAGAGGGAGAGACTCTCAAGCACACTCTGCGCTGAGCCAGGAGCCCTACACGGGGCTCAATGTCATGACAGGGAGACCATGACCTGAGCAGAAACCAAGAGTTGGATGCTTAATTGACTGCACCATCCAGGCACCCCTTTCATCTCCTCTCAGTTCAAAACACACACACACACACACACACACACACACACTCACACTCACTTACCTGTAGGGGTTAGAGTTGGGGGTAATTAACTCAATGATGTGTACTTCCTTATCCTGGGGCTGGCTGGATATCACACAACCCTCTGCTGCTTTGGGCTGAAGGTACTCAGCAAGATAATTGAGCGAGAGAAAATTCTTCCCTATGTTGCACATGGGAGGGAACACTTGATCTGAAAGTCAAGAAGCCCAGGACAATCCGTCAAACGGCTGAGCTATATGGTAACCAGAATCGAAGGGAAAAAGGCGACAGTGACACTGAGCAGGTTCAGGACCCAGGGAACCACAAGCCCTAGGAAGTGCCTTAGAACTCCTCAGCCATGGCGCTGAAATGCCTCCCATATGGTCGCCAGTGACCTCCTACTGACCAACTCTATTGGCCTCTTTGGGTCTAAAGCTTGTCCTTTCCTGTTCTCTGTGACACTGCTTTGTCTTCGTCCACTTCCTCTGACCTGTCTCTCGTCCCTCTCCCTGGTTCCTCCTCCTCTGCCCATTCGTTAAACACCAGCAATCCTCAATCTTCGGTGCACACCAGAATCCACCCATTCGGGACCCCAGCCCCAGAGATTCTGATTTGGAAGCCCTGGGGTGGGGGTGGGGGCTGCCTAGGAAGCTTTCTTTTTGAAGAGCTCCATAGTTGATTCTGATACAAAACCAAGGCTAAGAACCCCGTTCCTTCCTCAATCCCCATTTCGTCTCATGTTCTTCCCAGATGATCTCCATCACTCCCAGGGCTTCAACCTGCCCCTCGATCATCACTCTCTTTTCTGAGCTGCAGACTTGTGTTGTCTTCTGTCTACCAAGCACATAAAATCCAATAGGTAGTTCATAGCCTGCATACGTGCTACTGAAATCATGATCTATCCTATTCCCCAGATATGCTCCTCCTTGGATATTTGTTATTTCCTATTCCCCAGATATGCTCCTCCTTGGATACTTGTTATTTCAATTAATAGGAGAACCAACCACCTAATTAATTCTCTGGCCTGCTAGTGAGAATTAGTCATTCCCTCATATTTATTCACCACAACACTACAGATCTAAAGACTGAAGGAAGGAGTTTGGGGTAAACAGTGAGGGCAGACTTTCACTCTTTCTCACAATCTTGACGCAGATGACTAATACTTTGGTAATACTTTACATTTTACAAGGTGGTTTCACAAACATCATCTCGTTGTGCTGAGGGCTGCTCATCACCTCCACCAGGGAAAGCGATACAAGTACCGAGTCTGAAGATACTCCCGTTTACACACGCCGTTTACACAGCACTGCTCTTGATGGGATTTCTAGCCAGTGGTTTAAATGTTTAAACAGAACTTGAAAATGCTGGCTGTGTAACAGCTGGGACCAGTGTCAAGGAAGTTCTAGGTGTAGCAAACTTTTTTTCAGAAGGGGTAATTAATCAGAGCCCTGGCATGTCAATGAAACAACCTTCTGCCTCTTTCATTTAACAGACAGGATGCTGGGGTTCAAATTCATGTGCAAGTTTCACTCAGGAGAGAGGGATCGGCCCAGGAGGTCCCCAGATTGGGTTGATGCTGCCCTGTTCCCAACCCCCACCAAGCCTGCATCACCTCCCTCGTGCCGAAGTCTACAGCACACATGGAGGCATCCTGGCTCTGGGCACCATGGCGCCCTCGGCACCAGGCCAAGACCAGAAGGGACCAGAGGAGCTCACGAGGCCCCAGCATGCAGGCTCTTCACCCTGCATTCTTCCCTACAGACACCCTCAGAGAGAAGAGGCCTGGGCTCCACTGACTCTGGAGGCTGGAGCAGCCTCCCCGCCCCCCGCCACATCTGCTGAGGGTTTTGCCAGATGAACAGATGAGGAACGCACACTGTGCAGCTGCAGGCCTGCGGATGCCTCCCCCAGATCACAGGATGGAAAATGATACCGGGGTGGCAAGACTGAAATGGAATCAAGAATCAGAGGGGGTGTGTATGGGTCAGAGAAAAGCTAGTCTGGAACTCAAAGAACTAGGACCCTCTTGGGACTCTGGCCTGTAGATCCATCCAGTTCACAGGTGTGCCTGGTTTGCATCTGGTGTAGAGTAGGCACATGGTGTAGGTTTCCTGAATTGACAAACAATGATGTGAGATTTGAGACAAATAACAAAAAACTCACCCACGTTGTGACTAGGAAATGTTTAAAAGTTGCCGTTATTAAGGGCTGGTCCCAGATGCCACTGTCACTAAGTTGAATAAGCTGATCTGATCACTCTCTGTTGTGTATACATGTGTGTGTATGAGTTCTTTTTCCCCCAAACGACCTTCTGCACGCCTGGCATCAAAACTTACACCAACTGCCAAGTAGAAAGGAAACCACAAAGGGGAATCCCCGTGTAGAAACCTGGCAAGTTTTTTGGGGAAAAAAGTCACATGCTTACTTGTATTTTAGGAAAGGACTGACAAATGACTTTGCAACCTAGAATGATATACTCTGGGAACATGGTGGGTAATGCAAACTCCTCATTTTCTTGCTGTGGAAACTGAGGCACAGGTGGCAAATCAGAGGGTTGCTTGAAGTTTCACAGTTAACGAGACTGGTTGGGATAAGAACTGAAACTCCTTGATTCTTCCACTCTAGGTATGCAGGTTAGAGTAGTAGTTCTCTAATGTTAGCACGTATCCGAATCACCAGGAATGCTTGTTAAAACACAGGTGGCTAGACCCTACCCCCAGAGTTTTCAATCCAGTTAGTCTTGGGCGGGCCCAAGAATTGGCATTTCTAATAAGTTCCCAGGTGATGAGGATGCTGCTGGAGTGGGAACCATATTTGAGAGCTACTGGGGATACAGCAAGAGGAGGCTCATGGCCTCGGATCCCTGGACTCAAGCAAGGTAGAGACAAGTCAGGTTCTGGGAAGCTGGCTGATGAGTCCTGCTCAGTGGAGCCTGATCCATGGTGATAGATGACATCACCTCGTGGTCCACCAACCTAACCAAGGACCCTCATTTCTCCCAACTGCTCTTCTCCATGCTACCAGTGACTCGTACCCAATTGGTGGCTGGAATCAAGTTTCAGGGGCTCCAAAGGTGTTATCAAGGAGTCATCAGCTTTTACTGGACTAGACACCAGGTCCTTTAAGTTCTTCCCTGGCTCAGCGTGTGGCCCTGGGGACGTCACTAAACTCCTCACTCTCAAGGCAGGCGACAACTGCACATAGAAGTTCATGCACTGTCAAGAGAACAGCTCAACATTCTAAGTGTTACTGTAACACATTTTCTTATTCTAACAAATTCTGGGGGGCAAAGGGTGAGTAATCAGCATTCTTTTATGCTACTAGAGTTCTCCTTCAGAAATGCGGACCACTGGCAGGGCTTAGCATCTTTGTTAAAAGAGGTTTTTCATTTTGTTCCAATGGGACTTGACTTCTATTATAAGCTACCTGACCACCCTCAGAGTCCAGTAACAAACTTCAACTTTTTGAGTCCAACACCCATCTAAAACTCTTCTCTCTACTCTGCAAAACAAGTCTTTCCATCCAGGTGCCTACTTGCATTTTTAGGTTGCGCTTACTTGGCTAAGACTTAATATATGGCATCAGAAAACAAGCATTAGACTCAAGAGTCAGGAAACCTGGGTTTGAATTCTGGCTTCGCCCCTTGCTAATAATGTGGATTTGAGCAAGCTAGCTTCACCCACCACTAACTCCTCTGTAAAATGGTGGAAATAATGGTTTCCCCCTAGGACGGCTGGTGAGGTTAAGTGGGGTCCATGGGAAAAGCACCCGATGTGGCCTCTGCACACAGCACACACTCCAGCATCAGGGTCTGTCTTTCCTGCACCTGTCACACAGCCCAAGTATAAGAATGGGCCGAGAGCAAGCATTCAATAGCCCATGCTGTGTTGTCATGCTGCCTGTGTTAGAGGTGCCAAGTGCTGCAGAATTCAACAGAAAGCAGATGGACGCTGCCGATGTGAAATACAGTTTTCACATAATCACCTGACTATGACAAGAACTCATTCACAAGAGTTGTTATTTCTAGTAACTTAGGGGGGCTCCAAATATACTCAACTAAAAATAAGGATGAAAGAAGTTATTTTTAAAAATGGGCCTTCAAGCCGAGTGACCAGATATATATATCCTTCTGCAAGGCAAGGAAATTAAAATGGGCCATCTCTGATCAAGGCCACACAGTTCCGTTCTCCAATAATTTTGTCCTTGTAACTGTCATGGGTATTAAAAAATATATTCAAACACTTTTCCTCTGCTATTGTCCAAAATCTAACCGATGTTTCAAGACCATAAACTAACATTGGCTTCCAATGTTTGCAGGTTAATAGGGAAGGGGATGCCCTAACTGTTGACTCATTCTGGCAACTCTTCCTTCTTTCCATTAGCGATCACCTCCTTTCCCTCACCTCAGATTCTCACCCTTCCCTTACTCTGGCTTCTGTGCATGCGTGTCTTCTAAACCCTACACCACAACCTCCTCCTCTCTCAACCATGCTACTCCCCATTTCCTGCTTGGCTGTTACCAGGCCTATTTCCTCCGAAGGAAAAAGGGAAGGAGCGAGCATGAGGGGAGCAGGCCCAGTGATCTCCTGGGTCCCTGCCAGCTCCAACATTCTGTAATTCTATGATTCTTTGCCCTAACCACCTGCTCTCTGAAAAGAAAACAACTGATGTCATAAATCAGTCATTAATTGAAACCACATAAAATTTACCTTCTCCCACTTTAATATAAATGTTTCTTGCTATCTTGAGTTCAGTGAATGAAGTGACTGCTCCATACTCCTTTCGAGCCCAATTTAACAGATGTTCGTTTCCATGGGGGAAGCTCCTTTCTTCTGTTTCTGCTGACAAGGAGAAGTTTCCTGATGAAAATTGGACCGTGGAACCCTGAGACACCTAGAGGAAATAGAATAGAATAGAGGAACATACATATTTAATGTAGTGCAGTCACTGGGAGCTGAATCTTAATTACAGAAGGCACTTATCAACCAATGGGTATTTGTCAATCCAACCTCTTTGCTTTGTTATACAGGCAGATTATCTCATTTCCGCAGCTGATTCAAGAAACAGTCCCAGGGCTACTTCTCCCAGAAAACAACAAAACTATCAATGATGCAGGATATACATAAGAATTTTCAAAGAACTCTGTGATGAGAGACTGCAGAGTGCATTGTGAATTATCATTGCTGTTTTTTTCTGATATCTAAATTGAAGTAATTTCAAGTAATGCATTTCAAGTCGAGCAGAAAGTCTTGGTGAGTGTTGTCATGGGCTTGTGGTGGGCTTCAAGATCCCGGACAAGCAAGCCAAAGTCCCAGTAGCAAGTAAACTTGACTTCTAGGTCTCCCACGACCATAGCATCTACTGACAGTCACCACCACGGAGACACAGCAAGAATCCCCCTTTGGTTTATGTTCTCCTGGACACGGAGATAAAAAGAATGACTGGAGACTGCCAGTCTTCTACCACATTACACTGCTTCCTAGAAGAAAGATGCATGTATGTTACCGTTTATTTTGTAAGACCCTCAAATACCCACAGATAATGAAGTCAAGAGGCTGTTAGACTGATCCTCATAAAACTTTCAGGATGATTTATGCAAGTGCCACATTCTTGCTCGATGTATTTAGACAATTGCTGACCCAGCACATCATGGTATATATAATTAACACATACAAAGGAGGAAAATTATCATCTTGTTGCTGCACTGTAATCAAATTTAGTTGGTGAAAATATGCATGTCATCTTAATTGGCTAGCTTCTGCAAAAATAACTGATTTTATTAATATCAGGGTGAAACCTCAAATTGTCAGCAAGAAGGTTCATAAATTCCTAAGTCACACAACTATAAATGTATTAAATTTCACATTAACAATTTACCACTAACAAAAAGCAAAATAGTGTCTGAAGGGGTTATAAATAACCAGACTAAAAGCAGGTTGAGAACACAGATTTTGCTTATGGTTCTATTGCTTACAGCAGTGTTTTCAAGCTTAACATACATACAAAATAGTACTAATCCTAACTATTGTGCTGGCCTTAATATTTTCCATTCAATTATATGTATCTACAGTAGTCTCCCCTTATCTGTGGGGCATACCTTCCAAGACACCCAGTGGGTGCCTGAAACCACAGGTAGTACTGAACCCTATGTATACCATTTTTTCCCTATACATACATAACTATAATAACGTTTAATTTATAAATGACGCACAATAAGAGATTAATAATTAGTGATAAAATGGAGCAATTAAAACAATATGTTATAAATAAAAGTTATGTGAATGCGGTCTCCTTCAAAATATCTTATTATACTATATTCACCCTGTGATGATGTCAGATGATGAAATGCTTGCGTGAGGAGGAGCTCCTGAGTGGCTCAGTTGGTTGTGTCTGACTCTTGATTTCGGCTCAGGTCATGATTTCAGGGTCATGAGACCGAGCCCCACGTTAGGCTCCACGATCATCGGGATGCTGCTTGAGATTCTCTCTCTCTTTCCCTCGGCCCCTCCCCCTGCTTGTACGCTCTCTCTCTCTCTAAAATAAATAAATAAATCTTAAAAAAAAATGCCTACGTGAGGAGATGAAGTGAGGTTAATGACACAGGCATTGTGACGCAGTGTTAGGCTACCACTGACCTCCTGACAATTTGTCAGAAGGTGGATCATCCGTCTCTAGGCTGCAGCTGACCACCAATAAAAAAAAAAAAAAAAAAAAAAAAACATGGAAAGCAAAATTGCAGGTAAGGGGGCACTACTGTATTGTTTTAAATGCTAGCAAAGAAGTTCTTCACCAAATTGATTCCATGACTACTAATGCTGTGGTCTCACTCTTGGCTGAAAAGTAGAAGCACTTAAGAGCTTCTAAAATATCCTAAGGTCCAGGCCACACCCCAGACCAATTAGAATCTTTGGGATGGGACCCAGCCATCAGAATATTTTAAGGCTCCCTGAGGGATTCCCAAGGTCAGCCATGGTCGAGAAGCCCTGCGTTAGTTGGTACTGAGTAATCCATAGTTTGAGAAGCATTATTATAGGTCAGGGACAGTGTGGGTACCTTGCAGCTTTCTCTATACTAGTGGTTCTCAACTGGGGTGATTTTGTCACCCTGGGGACTTCTGGCAATGTCTGGAAACATTTTTTATTGTCACAATTGGGAGGGAGGAGCTATCTAGTGATTAGAGCCCAGGGATGCTGCTAAACATCCTACAATGCACAGAGCAGCCCCCACAATCAAGAATTATCCAAAATGTTGGGGCACCTGGGTGGCTCAGTTGGTTTAAGCAACTGCCTTCAGCTCAGGTCATGATCCTGGAGTCCCAGGATCGAGTCTCATATTGGGCTTCCTGCTCAGCAGGGAGTCTGCTTCTCCCTCTGACCCTCCCCTCTCTCATGCTCTCTCTCTCTCTCAAATAAATAAATAAAATCTTTAGGAAAAAAAAAAAGAAATATCCAAAATGTCAATAGTACTGTGACTGAGAAATCCTGGTCTACACTTTGAACTGACCACATATTAGTAACATTCAAATATCTACTGGATTCCCAGATTAGATCCCCAAATTGACAGCCCTCTCTAATTGACAGCTAGAAGTTGGGCCGTCGAGTACTTAATAAAGAATAAGGGAATCTTCCTGGTTTGTATTGGCCCAGGAAGCCCAGAACTAATCATTACTATGCTGGACATAAGCCATGACCTCGAACAATAGTTGCCACGTCCTGCACACCTACTATGTATCAGGCACCACGAAGTGCTATGAGGTGTGGTAATGACACTTGCCAAATGTCCTGATGCCAGTTCTATATAAGTAAAACCAGTGGGGACGGTTTAGCTTCAACCTTGTTTTGACAATGCCTGCCTAAGAAAAAGTTCCTGAACCGTTTACCTGCCAAACAATAACCATGCCAACCTGTGTCCAAATCCTCCGAGGCTTAGTTACTCACCGACACTGAACTTCAGTGTTTATCTGGTATTTTTGACTTAAGCACTGTAGTAAAATCTTCTTTTCACCGAGAAGCACTTGTGCTAAAAAGTCATTTTTATCAAGCCCGTCACCAAAAAAACCCACAACAGTGCAAAGGCCATCGTCCCTCTGCCAGCACAGTGCTGAATGTTTAGGCAAGCATCCCTCGATGCTCCACTCCTTTTGCCCTCATTCATGTGACAGCTATGAAATAAAGCACTTGAGTTTTAAGCGTTTTACAGAGAGTGCGTTTCTTCAGAGTGGAAGGTGGGCTATACCGTGTAAATGGGAGAAGAAATAGGGAGCAACTTGGAAACGTATCCTCAAGTCACAGAAAAGCAATCCTATAGCATGGCTGGCTCTCCAAGAAGGGGCAACGCCTGGCTGATCCCTCCAAGTACCATCAACCCCGCTCAAGTCTGTGTTCTCCCAGACCAGCGGCAACTAGGTTCATACACTCACGGCTGAGGAATCTGGAAAAGGAGTGAACTGCCACTCCTCAGGCACATTCCAATATGCAGAAAGCAAAGCTGCCAGAGGCAGTGAAGTGTCCCTGACTGCAGGTCAGTGGAAATTTTCTGCTGTGGCAAGGGGTTAGTCAGCACTCCTCCTGACCACCCGTTCTCCTGGCTCTGAAAAAGCTGGACGCGGACAAAGGCCTCCCCCAACCCCCACCGAGATTTAGGAGGTAATGTTATTTCCATCTGATCCTCGGGACGACCCGTGAGCAAGGCTACTGTGATTTCCACAGTAGACAGGAAGAAACCTCAGAGAAGCTACTGGCCTACCCAAGGTCAGAGAAACAGCACTGGAGCAAGACCAGAACAGGAGACTTCTGACTCCTGGTCGGAGCTGGCCTCTGAGCTAACCCTGCCACAAAGAACACCTCACTAGCTCCCAAGACAGATTTCTGTTCTATCTGTAAGCTTTGCCTTCCACCCACGTGTCTGAGCTATGCCTTCCAGACCAAGCATTCCTTCTTCTTTTCTCCATGAGACAAGCCTTCAAATGTTTGAAGATGTCGTTTGACCCCGATCATGGCTTCGGTTCTTCAGGGCACTATTTCCAGCCCCCTCAACTCCTCCCCAGATACTGTGGTTCTCAGATCCTCACCAGCACAGTCTCGGAAATGTGGTGTCCGGGACAAGACTTGGGGTTTGGGGTGCGGTCTGGCAAATGCACTATAATGGTTAATTCTGTGTCAACCTGACTGGGCTACAAGGTGCCCAGATAGTTGGTCAAACATTATTCTGAGTATTTCTGTGAGGGTGTCTGTGGATGAGATTAACATTTAAATCAGTAGACTAAGTAAAACAGACTGCCCTTTCCTAACATGCGTGGGCCTCAAATCAGTTGAAGGACTGACCCTTCCCTCTGAGTAAGAGAAAATTCTCCTGCCTGACAAACTCGTCTCCTTCAAACTGGGACATCAGCTCTTCCTGGTTCTACAGTAGCCTGCTGGCCTTCGGATTCAAACTGGGACAGACTCTGCGGAACTGGGGACTTGCTAGCCTCCATAATTATGTGAGCCAATTCCTTACATCTCTTTACATATATATATATGGAACCTTAATGAGGCCCAAAATCACATTAGTTTTCCTATCAGCTGACCGGTATCTCATATTCATTAATTTATACTTTAAACATACTTGTGACAAATATTTATTGAGCACCTGCTTCCACTCTGCCAGGCACCGCTGGAGATGCTGGGATAATAGTACAGAAGGTGACAGACAAAACTCCCCATCCTTGTGGAGCTTACAGTCTGGTAAGGAAGTCAGAGGAGCATGGTAAGTCAGTCAAATATGTAATAGCCTAAGAAGTGCTACGGAGAGAGAAGAAGAGAAGGTTTAAACGCTGTCATGGGGAAAGTCCAACTGAGAAAGTCATTGAGCAGTTAAAGCCCTGAAAGAGAGAGACAGCAAGCCCTGTGGAC